GATACGCTGAGGCTATGAGCATATTACGTCAAAGGTTTGGAAGACCTTCAATGATTGTAAGGAACGTATACGAAGCTGTCAAAGGTAACGGCAGTCAACTCCAAGATGACTCCAAGGCACTTACTGAGTTTTTAGATAATCTTATGACTTATAAGAATACCTTGATTTCTATGAATTGCATGAGTGACCTCAACTCGAGTTTTATACTAGAAGTAATAGCAAGACGCCTACCTACTCGACTGCAAAGGAAGTGGGTGAAGATAAGCTCCCGTATGGAGGATGAGGGTATCGAGCCAAAATTTGATGATATCCTGAAACTAATAAAAGATAGTGTCAATCAATAATAATAGTAATATATATTCTCATTTTTTACATGAGGGACGCCAGTTTACAGGCATCATCAATTCGATAATTTACACATAATATTAATAAGCATATTTAGTAAAGATAATATAATAAGGTACATTTTTTTCCCTAGCTATGTAGGGTACACCAATTGTATAGGCATGCATAAATATTGTTTTAATAATAATAATATATTCCTTCCTGTTTATGCAGGAACATACCTATTGTACAGGCATGGATAAGTTATTATATAAATTACACATAATTTGATGTATAATGGACTTACAGTTTGGTTGTTCTTTCTGACATTAGAGTCAGTCGGAACAGTCTGCTATAAAGTCTGTTTGTGTAGCACATAAAGAGATATAGAAATATTGTCTTCGCATTAACAAAAAACCCAGACATCACATGAATGTAATACAGATATCTGGGAAAAATAAAGCTTGAAGTCAATTCTCTTATATAACTTTGTTGTGAACAGCACCCTTGGCTTAAAGTTTATTGATGTATTATGTTGAGATCAGTGATATATTTATTCCATTTTTCAGCAGTCTTATCGTAGTTTCATAACAGGAAAGAAATTTGATCGTGGAGGCGAAAACTAGATAAGGTCATGTGAAGTTGTTTTACTGCATCAAATGGTCCGAGGTCGATTCCAGAATTCCCCATTTGCGCCATTTGTGTCTGCATGGCGGACTGTACTCGTAAGTTGAGTAGAATGTTGAGAACTGTTGAAAACCAGTTGCTTCTTTATTTCAGATCATGAATACTCATTTACATCGTGTCCGCCAGCTTCTTTAAATGGTAGAATTGGATCGTTCCTGGAATTTGAGTGATTATGGGATAAATGGTTTGGAATTAATCATAGCAGTTAGAATACAGTTAAACATGCAGAGAAGTACTTTTGATTCAGCAACCGGTGAATTTTTTATTCTTTTCGATCTAGTACCAGAATAACTGCGAACCATTCCATTCAATATGTCGAATAAGGCACGCAGGAGGAGATCATTACCATGGAATGAGTCAACTTGATCTGAGATGCAGCTTTCAGCATGTTTTCGTTATATCATAGATATCCAGGTTTATTGGCGCTGTAGAGGCAGTGATTTGGATTATAACGTATTCTACAAAGTCTCCGTGCCCATTTGAAGTATACATATGCTTTGAAAGGATTACTTTGTTGGCTCCTACCCCCACTGAGTGTTAACAACAGCTGCTGTGGGTTTATGTATTTCCTCGCCTTTTTGGATAAAACATCGCCGCATTCTTTTTGGGTAGGAGACCAGTTGGTGGATTATAAATGATATCCAAGTAACTTTTATCTTTTCATGTGGTGTTGCGGTAAGTTTCTACCTTGTTTTCTCATATTTCATTCGTATGTTGATTATGGTTCGCCCTTTGTATCAGGTAGACATAGTTTGATCGACTCTTGGTTGAATGGGTGTTATTGTCATGACTGCTGCTTTTTTGTCTGGAATTATAAATAGAGACAAAACAAACAACAGGTGTAGTCTCTGAGTTCATACATTAAATGGGCCTATGATTTCTGAAACTCTTACATGGGAATTACCATTGGTATCAATTACAAACTCACTTAGTGTGTCATTAAGTGCCTTTTCAAAGGAGGCCAATGTGCTTGCTAGTCGTATTTTCTCAGGTAGTTTGTTCCATATTTGGGCATACCTAATCAAGAAAAACTTTTGCCTGGTGGCTGTTTTACATGGTTCTATAGCCACTGTACCTTTAGTGTGCCTAAGGTTGTATCCTGTGTTACCTGAGAACCGAGTATAGTTAGCAGGGGTATACACTATTTGGTTAAGAAGCTTATAGAAGAGTAACAGATTTAGTCGCAGTCGCCTTAACCATAATGTTTCTAGTCCCAGGATTTCACATCTGGTAGAGTAGTTTGTGCCGTTATCGGTTCCGAGTACTTTTCGCGTGAAGTACCTCTGTACTCCTTCTACTTTCAGTTTGTCTTCTATGCGTGTACTGCTGAATATGAATGAGCAGTAATCTAGGAGTGGGCGCACACATACCTTGTACAGTAGTATTCTGGACTCGTTTCTGTAGAAGTTCCTGAGTAGGAAACCAATAAGCCTTCGTGATTTCGACACTTGATTCGAGATATGCTCTGAAAATGATAGATTGTGTGAATATTTCAGTCCTAGGTCTAGTACAGATTTGAGTCTGGGGATTTTGTGGCCCTGAATTGCTAGGTTGAGGTCAAGGTTGGAACAGCCTATGCAGAGCCATCCACACTTTTCAACATTAAACTCAAGTCTCCACGTGTCACACCATCTATCCATTTTTGCTAATTCTTCATGTATGGAGTTCATAGTTGGGCCGATATCTGTATTTGTGCAGGTATATGTCACCTTCAAGTCATCTGCATACAGTATTGGCTTGCCTATACTAAAACATTCACATATACTGTTTATGTATATAATGAAAAGAAGGGGTCCCAATACACTCCCCTGGATGACACCACTGCTGATTGGTCTAGGTCTGGAGGTCATTGAGCCAACTTTAGTTGTCTGATTCCTGTCATACAGAAATGATTTTATCCAATTGTAGAGGGGGTTGCGTATCCCTAGTGAGCATAGCCTACCGACTAACAGACTATGTGGGACTCTGTCGAAGGCTTTCCTTATATCGAAATAGAGGATAATCACTAGCTCTCTCCTATCTCTTCTATAGGTGACTTCGTTGAAAAAGTCTATATGGCAAGTGACGCAAGATCTTTTCTTGAGGAATCCGTGTTGTGACAGGTTGATGAGTTTATGTTTTAGAAAGTAGTCTGACATTTGGTCTTTGATTACTTTCTCCATGATCCTTGATATGACTGGTGTTATATTGATAGGCCTATAATTACATGCACTAGTTTTGGCCCCTCCTTTATGCTTAGGTAATATATATGTGTTTTTCCAAGTTTCAGGGTAGGTTTCGGTCACTAGTGAGATATTAAATATTCTAAGTAATAATACAATCATATCCGTACCACCGTTTTTGTATATGACGGATGGTATATCGTCTATCCCACAACTACTGTTAGCTTTTAATGTCCTTACCGCCGATGCTATATTTTGTATATTAAAGTTTATTTCACCTAACTTGTAGTTATTTTTGCAGGTTATGTCGAGAATTGGGGACGGATGTGCTTTGGTGTTATTGGAGAACCACTCACTCAGGAGTTCACTAATGATCTGGGGATCATCATAAATTATATCTTCGTGTTCTAAATGACTGATATTGTTTTCTTCACCCTTCTTCAGCCGTTTTTGCAAGATTTTGCAGAGTTCCTGGGTTTTAGAGGTGCCCTCTAGGGCTTTATTTTCCTCGACTTGTGCTTTCATTTTATGTCTCTCATCTAAATTTTTAAATATTTCGTGTATCAGGTGTAATGCATTAAATTCTTTGTATAAATAAAATCTCCTTTTTAGTTTCCTTAGTTTTATTCGCGTTTTGCGATCTATGAACAGAGTTGGTGTCTTTAGGGCAGATTTCAGGGGTGCGATTGTGTCTCTTACCGAACTGATTGTCTTGTAGAAGGTATTTAGTATTACTTCTAAGTTATTATTGGTGAAGTATTCACCCCAGTCTGAGCTTCTCAAGAGCAAGTTCGCTAGTCTATTACATCTCACCCCTAGAATAGAGCAGTCTGAGAGCAAAATGCAATCATTAATGACGAGTGGGCCTCAGAGAGGTGGAAATCGAGAAGGCTCCATGATGTATAGTAATGCATATAGACCTAGTGAGTGTAACAGGTTTCGTAGTACATCCTCAACAGATAAGTTACGAGATGCAAGACAAACACGGTTGTGTTTTACACGTTTGCAAGAGGTGCATACAAAGGTGAACTGTGAACCAGTGAGCAAGTTCAGTGATAAGCTAAATGTAAACTCCAGGCATGACTCCGAATTGTGTGACGATAACGGTTTGGTCAGGAAGTCTGTAGTTGCAACTGGTAAGTCATTGTTGAATAGAGTGTCACAGAATAGAGTTGCTGCTTCAGAGTGCAGTTCTGACTCCACAATTTTACAAGGTATTACTCGTCTTCGTATCCACGATCATAAGCTAGCCGTCAAAAGACATGATATCCACTCCATCACTCATATCACTACATACAGACAACCACAGACATCAATTCGACTGGGACAACCAAACCAACGTTCAAATATTAGACAGAGGAAACAACGAGAATGATAGAGAATGGTTTTAGAAGCCTACCTCGTATTCCAGTGAATCATCAATCAATAGACACATCGAGATAGACAAAATTTATCAACCGATAAGAAAGAAAACTCACACACAAAAAGTCAAAGTTCAAGTCAAAGAAACAATCAGTTCCAATACAAGTAGCTGCCTAGAAGATGCGAAAACACACAAAAACAACCAATCACGTCCGAGGTGGTCACCAGGAGAGATGATTAATAAACTCGTGGAGAAATCTAAAAGCTCACTTCAACAAATTGAAGTAGTATGCGCTGAAGTGAGGATGTTGCCTAGTAGGGCGATGGAAGCTTTGCAAATTAACTATCCAGCTCAAAGAACACAACCATATCAAAATGGTTAACTAGTATCACTTCGTAATCTTTGCCAGATGAAAAAATTTCAAGATTTCAAATGACAATAATAATAATAAATAAGGCACTTACTTGTTTATAATCTGATAAAGATCTTTCCATAAAGAGATAGATGTGAGTAATTTACGTTCACGTAACTCCTCAAGCAGGACTATAAAAGCTTCACGATTTTTACGTTGTTCCCTTTTTTGTTTACGACGTTCACGATCTTTCTCCTCTTCATACTCTTGTTCAAGCATACAGATATGCTCTTCAAAACAAATTAAGGCGTCTTCTTTATCTAGATTTTGTAATTCTACATCTTCTGTAAACCTGAAAAAAGGAAAGAAATTATTCAAAATAGACATACTGATAATATCGATGAAAGGCTATGAGTCCCACTGGTAATTAGAAATAAATGAACCAATATATGATAATAATAATAATTTGCTTTATTCCAAAAACAGTACTAATGATACAGAAAGGAATTTTCAGCATTCAGTACAATATTGCATCTAGTTTACTCAAAAACGACAACAACAACAAAAAAATTAAAAATACACATTACACAACAGTAATAAAACGATTTTTATAGCAGCTACATAGCAAAATACTGTATGCCATACGGAGAAAAATATGCATAAAGTACAAAATTGTAGTAATAATAGTAATACCAACTAAAATAAAATAGCAAAGTTATAATTAAACGATAGAAAGTGTGACACCATAAAATACAGAAAGATGAATGATGAAAGGGTCGATTCACTGTACTAATTACATAGTAACTTACAAGTTTCACGTCTAACAGAGTCTTCGTCACATAAAGTACGGGCTAAATAGGGTATTGTAGAATTTCTATACTTAGTGGTACGAGCATATAACTTTTATATTGACTTCTCGTCCTACCTGATGAGATACAAGGGGACAGGTGTGAATAAAGGGGGTGCAGAGGGTCGGTCTGACAGTACAGCCTTTGCCCATTTCGTACAGGATTTCATATGTCTCTCGACTATAATATTGGCGATCTCACGCAGTGGTGTACCACAAACCCTACCTTCTCACAGCATTTAATACTCTTCGTAATATGATATAATCTTTTTTGAGAAGCCCAGGAAAGATTAATGGAGAGCAATAGAGTACAATAGGTAAAATACAAGAGTTTAAAAATTGCAAAACTAAAGGTTGGTTGATACCTGATTGTCTTAACTTTTTAATGTAGAAGGTAAGACGAAACATTTTCTTAGAAATAGATAAGATGTGTGATGACCATGAAAGGTCAGAGGAAAGAACTAATCCAAGGTATTTAATGCTGCTTGACTTGGTTTCAATTTCCGTGCCATCTATGCTACAGGGATCATGCGAGCTAACTAGTTCAAGTAAGTCACGTCGATGCTTGAAAGTAAAGTCAAGCACCTGACATTTGGAAGGATTTAATATAAGACCATTTGACTTGGACCATTTGTTGATGTCCAACAGAAAGTTATTAAGTTTGGAGCTGTCAGACTCGGAAGTGATAGGCAGTGATACAGTCAGATCATCTGCATATTTGACAAAGTTAGTTTCGTTTGAATGAGGCAGGTCATGTAGGAAGAAAGAAAAAAGAAAAGGAGAGAGGACAGCACCTTGTGGAACACCGGATTTTGTAAGCGAGGTAGAAGAAGATTTGCCGTTATATACAGTATACTGCATTCTATCAGAAAAATAGGAATGCAACCAACTCTTAGCCCAGGATCCTGTTTGTGTCAATGATAGCTTATTTAACAAAAGGCCTCTAGGTACAGAGTCAAAAGCAGATGTGTAGTCTAAGAAAGCACTACGAACATATTTGGCACCTTTGTCTAAACAAGAGACAACATTGTGATATAAGACGACCGCAGCATCCAAGGTACTTCTACCATGTTTATATGCAAATTGTTTAGGATCATTATGATGATGATGATGATGTAATAACGAGGTAAATTGAATTTTAATGTATTATTGATATAAGTATAAAACTTGGGCACTGTGGTGGTAGAGTATAACTCTATTATGTGGATAAGATTTTATTTTGATAGTGTCACACACTGTTACACAGTAATATTAACTGATGACCAAGGGACGTGTGTACTGCTCAGAAGTTCGCTCCGTCCTTCTCTATGGCTCTGAAACATGGCCAATACGAGCTGAAGGCATGAAAAGGTTGACTGCTTTCGATCATAGATGTCTGCGATCCCTTTCTCACGTTAGGTGGTTTAATAAGGTAAGTAATGTTGACGTTAGGCGTAGAGTGTTGGACAAAGAGGGAAAATCAATCGACGAGGATATAAAGTTACATAGATTGAGAGATGGCTAGGTCACGTGGTGCGCATGCCTAACCACCGCCTCCCCCGACGACGGGCATTACTAGCTGATATAGGTGCAGGTTGGGAAAGAGTAAGTGGTGGCCAAACAAAAACATGGCCTCATCAATCCATGAAATCCCTGACAGTTACACTGAGTCAGGTAGGGAGATCCAGACTTCCGGGATCTAGGAATCAATGGCTGGAGACAATAGGTGACATGGCTCAAAATCGTTGTCAATGGCTGGCGCAGATGTATTCAGTCTCTGTAATCTTTCATATTCCTTTCTACCATTACCCATTCTGTTTCGCTCTTATACCTGTCAAACTCTATTGATTCTCTTCAGTCATCTTCTTGTCTACCTTTGTGTGCTATTTGGAAGGTGGCAACTCGAACTGATGCACTTCGGTGCCAAGTTCTACGTTGAATCTAGACAGAGACAGACAGACTGATGACCACGTTTCAAGCACAAATTATCATTGCCACTCATAATCATATCAAGTCACTCACTCACACAACTCTTTTCCTTTATATATATATATATATATATATATATATATACACATGTGTAGAATGGATGATTAGATATTGGAGTAAAAATCCAATAAAAATAAATAAATAAAAATTCTAATAGATATTTAGACTTTAATTCATCTCATCCGTTAACTGTTAAGGCAGACTTAGTTAAGTGTGTATAACAAACCGAGCAATAGCACTAAGTGGCACAAAAAAGACCTAAATGATGAAATAAAACAGATAGAAGAAGCGTTGGTGTTAAATAATTATCCTATAAAATTCATTAGGTCAATCAGTAAAGGCTAAAAACAAGACAAAATAATTGTGGAACTATTAATGATAACATAAATAAAAGAATATAAGTCATCCATTGTTATACCATATAAGACGACAGAGGACATGAGACCCTACGTAGGATTCTTAATAAAGCAGGAATTAGGGTAGCATTCAAACCTACAAACTCAGTTAAGGACAAGCTCTGTAGGTTAAAGGACCCTGTTCACCCAATTAGACAAAATAATATAATTTACAAAATACCTTGCAATGACTGTGAGTTAGGTGAAGTACAACGTTCAAACTAATAGGTTAAGGGTAGTCAGATTGTCAGAACATAAGAATTTAGCTAAGGTGAGAATGGTTGATCCCAAGAAGATAAGTAATTTAGAAAAAACCTCGGCAATTGCACTACATGCATCAACGCACAACGATACAATAGGGTGGGTGAGACAGAGTCAAAACTCTAAAAAGTAATATAGTAGGTGGAGAGAGAGGTTGATTACGGAATCCTCGTTCATCGAGTCTACACCCAACAAATGCAATAGAAATGACTTAATGCAAATACCAGAGATATGGAAGATATTATTACCACCAATCAGTCGAATCAGAAGAGGATAATAAATAATCTTAAAATTCTATTTCAATTCAAGCACATCACAACATTCTAACAAGTAACTTATTATGGCTTTAAAAACACTCGTCTTATTTCCCATTTAATCGTAATTGATCAATAACCCTCATATTATTGGTTGCAATACTTGAATAGCTCACGTTATCATTTCCGAATGCACACTATTCCATACGATTTTTAATCCAATATCTAATCGATTCCACACATGCGTATAAATGAAGGGAAAAAGTTGTGTGAGTGACTTGATATGATTATGGGTGGCATTAATTTGTGCTAGAAACGTGGTCATCAGTTAATATTACTGTACAACACTGTGATTTATCGGAATAAAATCTCATCCATAATGGAAATATTTATGTATATAACAAGTTAAATCGTCACTCATATCCGAATTTTCAGTTAAATTCTTTGGTCTTAGAGATTAAGACACCTCCCTGCACCAGTTAAGATCAACATGAAATTTTTAAAAAATATTAATGTGGTGAGGAGCTGGCTGCAAGCTAGAAATTGTTAACAGCAATTTACGTCCCGAATCCGGGTCATGTGAAAAAACACAATAACAAAGCTTAACCACCTTGAGGAACTCGCCAACCAATCACAGAAGACTTAATGTGTGCAAATAGCATTCGCAGATATGTGGCTTAACTTTCTAAGATACGGTCACCAGCAGTGCAAAATAACCTTCGGCAGAAAAACAAACCAATTAGAAGACATCGCTTCTCTGCTAACAATAATGTACATAAAAATCTATAAACATCTGTTGATTTTTTCAACAGAGGATCTGTTGCCTGGCCCTTGTCTTCTGTAGTTACAGTACTACCCTTGAGAAATATTCACCCACAACCCCACTAGAGATCGAACCCGGGCCTTCAGGTTACGACACCAAACTCGTCGACCACCCAGCCACATAAGATGGAACTCGGTGATCCGTGAATTTTAGCTACGCTCACCAATGCCTTCGATAAGAATCGACTTCATCTTGACATTGTGATGGACCCCATGGTGGTCACCACTTCTCACTACAGTTTCAGGACAGGACATCTATCCAACTATCCATCCAGTAGCCATGAATGAGCTAGAAATTGATATTAAGATTATGGAATTTGTGGGGGATTTCGATCCATCTGATTTCAATCGTTAGACTACGTCACGAACCAACACACATCAGTAAGAGAGATTGTTGAAAACCGGGAAACATTGGACAGCTCTTTTCATCCGGTCCAGGTGACTGAATGGTAAATGGAGCTGAAGGCCTCCGGTTTGGTCGTTGGTTGGGTGGGGATGTGTGAACAAGCTGAAGAATCCCAGAATAGGACATAACAACTGACCAATGTTCCCTGGTTATCAATGATCTGTTTAACTGATGTTGGGCGTGTGATGTGAAATCTGTTGATGAACATGTCTAAGCGTATGCTCCATAAGAGCAGTCCAACTGAGAGATACACATATTGAGGAGGCGGAATTAGATAGTTTATCCTTGATTCCTAAAAGTTACATTGGAGTAGTTGTGAACTTCTGCTATACTGAACGCTGTTTCTATTGCTTTGTTTAAAGATTGCGTTATTACCTTCACTGATGTTATCATCAAGGG